AGCCATATTTCGTTACACGAAATAATTTGCATTAATATCTTATTCAGTACATGTATATCTATTGGTAAAGTATAACTCTGTTTTGAATAGGTATTCACAATAAATGGAATTGCTATACGCTTATCTTGCTGTATTTCTGTATCAGTACAACAACTATGCAACCTGGTTTAAATTTATTAAATTACCTTTTAGATAAAAGCGACAGCTCTGAGAAGATACCACGGTTAATATGTAGGGAAATAAAGAGACAGATACAAGAGGAATCAGCGGATGACCGACTTAGCGAGACCTCTTTCAGCAGCCTCGAGCAGTTTTCCTCCATATGTGGACCCGATTTCAATCTTTATTCCATAGTAAACTCTGTCAATTCACATATGTCTAAAAGTGAACCTTACATTCACCGAGATGAGAAAGGTAAATTGAAGACAGTAGAACGAGGAGACCAACTAACCAATGTGTTCAATGAACCGACATGATGTAGATCAAAGAAAACAAAAGTTTTTCTTTGGTCAAAAGTTGATGGTTTTAGGATGAATGTGGTTTTGTATTAAAGTTTGACCTGCTAATTGTTTACCATTGTCATCGGATCGAGAAGACAATTCTTTCAAAGGAGAGTGTTCTATTGTAGACATTATAATGATTTGTTGCCCAGTGATATATTTGAATACGAGTACATCATTTGAATATATATTTCATGAGGAGCAAGCATTGTATACCAGTACCTGCTTTCACTGGAATCCATTGTACATAAGTCATATAAATACAGAAAAAAATGTCAGTGACAAGTTTTTATCTTAGCATATAGAATAAAAGATTGTGTTTTCTGATATTTGTTTTCTTATATCTATAATTAATGTTACAATAATCCTTTAATTTTTCAATTATCCTTCGGTTAACCAACTAAAACTCTCCACTTTCCATCAGAATACGACTTGTCAAATTCTAGGGGGTCAATCAAGGTCCTTCCTAGTCTGATAATTTTGCTACTTGAAGAGAATGACATGGATATTGCACCGCCTTTAAAAATCAATGCAGTTATCTTTGAGGGCGGGAAGAGGGCACTTGAAACTTCTTATAATCCTCGAATCACTTATAATTGGAATACTTTATGGTTTCTTGTTTCGTTTTTCTGGCTCTCGGTCGGATTCTGAGTAACGTTTAAGACCACGTGGATTATCACAAAGTGATTCATACTCTTTGTTTCACTTGCCTCCATCCGAAGAAGGGTCTGAGCATCAAAAAAGACGTAAGTATACAGGTCAGAGACTAACGAAGAATTACTTTATAAACGTCGGCGGGACTTATCTTAAAAGTATTGACATTTTTCGTCAAACATATCCACAATCGGAGTTCTTTTTGATTGTTTCTTTTATATCCGATGTGTCTTACGCGCCATTTTACCGAGTATTTGATAATCACACGTTGATAAGCCCGGTTTGGGTAAGTGCGACAACGGAATCGGTTGAGGAAATAACTTTACATCTATTTGGTAAAAAAAAAACATGGTTACACTTCCTATCGTTGATATTGCCGTTTGGCTCCAGAATAATATGCATCCAGACGACTTTGATTGTGACAATGGGCATATCTGACAACGAAAAAGAGGCTTTAATGTTTAAACTCGTTCACACAGAGGCCGTACAATGGATAAATAAATATTATACTACATTCCCTGAGAAATGGCATCATAAATTACGACAAATTACATAAGTATATTGGCTCAGATTTTTGGATTGTACGAGAAAAATCTATCCTTTACTGATTTTAATGATTTCAATCCAGCTTAAGTTCCACCGCGGACTAGTTTCATGAAAGAAGATTGTAAATCCACAAATTAAAGTGAAAAGTAGGCGCTTTTCTTATTTGTTAAAAACATATCTCAAAAATCTATACACGCGTTAAAAATGTTGAGAGGATTTAAAATTGAAAAGAAAGAGAAACCGAAAGCTGGCCTTTTTCTACCATATGTTCTCTTCCTTTCAAATTGTGAACTTGCGGAGCATTTATTTTGATTTTGAAAATGTCCTAAAATCAAAGTGCTTGTAGTACGTGTTACTTCTGTGTATCTTAAAGTTTGTGTATTTTTGTTTTTAGCTCGGTATAAAGTTTTGAAATAAAAAAAAATACTTTGTGCTTTCCTTGGACTTTTTCTTGTGAAAATATTTTAATATATGGATGTCAAGGAATTTTCATTCAATGAATATACAATGTATTTGAATATGAATTAATGATTCGAAAATTCGGGGGGGGGGGGGGCTGTATACTGAAAAGATAGATAACCCTGGCAAATTTATTTGGAAAAGTATTCAATTAATCAAGTTCAAATTGGATAATCCTTTTCATATTTTGAATTAGATGTTTAGAAAAAAAAAATCATACCCTCGAAATCAAACATTTGGCGATATTTTATGAGGAACAATAAAATGGATACGTGTGAATTTCAATTGTTGTAGATCGAGAGGGATTTTACGAGTAAAATTCGTTGTCAAGAGGGGCCAAAGTACGACGGTAGTGCAGTTTCTCCTGTATTGAATCCTGTTTGACAGTCTGCAAAATTTTCCATTCATCACATCTCTTTATTTAAATTTACATGCACTTCATCTTAGTATAGTTATGCAACATGACACCAGGTTTCTAGGCCATCATTAATTTTTTTTTTCTTTGATGTACTCCGACCCACATTTTTAAAGATGGGTACGTTGGTAGGTAGTTTTTGTTTTTGTTTTTTCTGAATTATCTAACACATTGATAGATATGTCATAAAAAACTACAGACTTAACAAATTTACTGATGTTTTCAGTATACGTCTGACAACTAGTATTATTTCATATTGATTCCTACTTTCAATCTTAAGAAACGCCCCAAGGAAATGATAAACCTTAACTTTAAAATTTGTATTTTCCCATAAACCAAAAAAGAAATTAAAGTATTAAAAAAATGATTGGGTAGGGGCAATTTTCATGGGTCGGTCGGAGAAGATCAAACAAATAAGTTTTAGCTCACCTGAGCTGAAAGCTCAAGTGAGCTTTTCTGACCACATTTTGTCTGTTGTCCATCTGTCCGTCCGTCCCTCTGTAAACCTTTCATATTTTTAACTTCTTCTCACGAACCACTGGGCCAATTTCAACAAAACTTGCTACAAAGCATCCTTAGGTTAAACGGATTCAAGTTTGTTCAAATGAAGGGCCACGCCCTCATTCAAGGGCGCAGCACAGTTAAGGTGCCAAATGGAAATATCGGCGAATTTTTAGGTAAAAAATACATTCTTTACCAGGATGGGCATTTCTTTTTAGGACTTTACTATTATCGCACAAATGCAATGTGGTTGAAAACTAAATGTTGAAGACGATTAGATTTCTTATTAAGACTTGTCACGTGATGTGGCAGTCACGTGATTTTAGCAAATATACCTGAAGTATTGAGGTCATCTATAAATTCTAATATTGCAAGGGCATAACCAAGTTAAAAATCTTAAGTTTAACATATAATTATTTTCAACACTCTTTGTAGTTTGTGAAAAGTGCTGCGAACCTATATAGATTCTACTATCTAATTGCTAAAATTACATTTGTTAGACCGTATGTTGAATATTTTGCTGGTCAAGTACATTATATCTAGATATAATTAATTCATTTGCAAGATTTCAACAGGTTCGCAGCACTTTTCAAATATCTTCATACTTCTTGAGTTTATGTGTAAAAGCTTGTCATAATTCATTGAGGGTATGCCCTTGCAATATATCGATTTATTATGACCCTTCTATTACCCTTCAATGAATCTGCAAATATACAACAGTATCGCTTCTCTAGGGAATGTACGGGAAGTATATGAATAAAATCATAAAAAAGACATCGTATCCAAGTTAATGGCCTCTTATATATCTACAATTTATATTTTATTTAATTACAAAATACATTTTTCATTGTATAAATGTAACTTGATCCGCCTCTCACTGCACACAAACTGCGTCAAATATTCCGATATGACGTCACATTGACAAGTGCATTGCGATCAGTGAATTGTTTATATATTGCTGTGTTGGATTTAACCAACGACAATAATGCATGCACTAGTTAGTATTGATGTAGTTTAAAGCTATTCATCAGTTTAAAATAGCAAATCATTTCATTTTGTGGTAATTTGAAGAACTTATATTTTTGTGTGATGTCATAGTAAGCATTTCCCGTATAAATTAGGCCCCGCCTCCTTACTGCAGCCTTAACTGTGCTGCGGGGAGATATTTCAGAAATAGTGAAATTTGGTGGCATCTTTTAAGAATCAAGAACCACTGGCCCAAAAAAGTTGAAACTTATAGGAAACCTTGATTACATAGTGTAGATTTAAGTTTGTTCAATTCATGACCCCTAGGGGTAGGGTGGGGCCACAGTGGGGATCAAATTTTTACATAGGAATATATTGGAAAAATCTTTAAAAATCTTCTTCTCAAGAACAGCAAAGCCTTGTTTAGTCATTGATATGTAAGTATCCTCAGGTAATGTAGACTCAAGTTGTTCAAATCATGACCTCTTGGGGTTAGAGTGGGACCACAATGGGGGATCAAAATTGTACTAAGGAATATATAGGAAAAACTCTTGTTCAGAAGAACAGCAAAGCCATGTTTAGTCATATTGAAATGGAAGCATCCTCAGGTAGTGCAGATTCAAGTTTGTTCCGATGATGACCCTCTGGGGTAGGGAGGGGCCACAATGAGGTATCAATTTTTACAAAGGAATATATCGGAAAAAATCTTTAAAAATCTTCGCTCAAGAACAGCAAAGCATTTGTTATTTTGATATGGAAGCAGCCTCAGGTAGCTTAAAATTCAAGTCCCCCCATGAAAACTTTTCAATACTGAACAGATTTGTGCTTTATCCTAGCCAATGTGCTCAGGTGAGCGATGTGGCCCATGAGCCTCTTGTTTATTACTGGCCCCAGTAACTTTACATGAATGAAGATGAGCTCCTCGATGTATTTTTTATTATAAGACACAACCATACGTCGAGATGTCGTCGCCCACACTTGAACATCCACACAGATACCATGCCTTCATCTACTACTGTCCCGACACAGATACAAACAACGCAAAGAAAATACTAGAAGTTATAGAAAACGAGGGCTTTCAGTGCTGCTTCCCTGAGAAAGATTTCTTACCAGGAGGAGCTCAAATCGATCTGGTCGTTGACGCCATACATAGGTAATTGTTTCCCGCTTTCGCGAAAGCGAGGAGACATTAAATCTCATTATCTGTCAGTCTGTCAAAAAACTTAAACCTTGGACATAACCAGGGTTTTGGCGAATTACATTGTAAAGCAATGCATTACATTACCATTACTTCAAGAATTTGGGCATTAAATTACCATCCATTACTTTAATTTCTTAAAGTAATGCATTAGATTGCCATTACTTTAGTTAAGTAATGCAATATTATTACCATTACTTTTGGAGGTTTTCAAAAATAAAAATACAAAACTTTGCAGATATTTTCATAAATATGCATAAATATGCATAAATATGCATCTTACCCCTTCAAAAATAAGCATGATGAATGATAATTCAAATTCACATGTCTTTTTATTATTCATAGCACGTTCAAACTTTTCAATTGCCAAAGCGATAAAAACTTGTAAATATGCACTTTTTGTGTAACTATTGATGTCATAGAGCAGTTTAACTTTTGGGGGCAATTTACTCCCTTCCCCAAAACTATAACTAAACTTAATAAGAAGATTATTTGGATCTAGTACCTTAAATGATGACAAAAATTAATTGCACTGACAAACTTGTAAAAAGGGTTGGACAGTACATGTATGTACATTTTGCTCTGCTAAAAGTAGAATGCCTGTCTTCTAATTCTTTTGGTGCAATGAATTTGTCATGGTCAGCTCAAGCTAGACAACTCAATTAATGTTTCATAAACAGTCAGAAGAAAGGGGCTGGATTTTGGAGTGTTTCTTAAAACAATATATTGTTTTAATTGTTACATAACCTTAGAGGCATTGTGTATTTTGATGACGCTCTATTCAAAAGGTGGCAATTATCAGTTTATAGTGTATATTAATTAGTGTGTCTCATACCAGAATTATTTTTAAAGGATATTTAAAACAAAGAAAAAATCTTTAAAATATTCTTTGAAATTAAATCTGATCTAAAATAAGTATGAAAATATAAATGAGTGGTAATTGTACTCTCAACAAAATAAAAAATGTATTTAAATAGACACGGAGAGTTTTATTCAAATGGGTTAACTTTTTTCATTCATTTCGATTATATAAAAATTATCTAAGCAATAATGTCCATGTCCATTTTCGATTTTTTAAAATAGGTTTATACAAAATAATGCTTAGTAATGCTATGTAATGCCAGCACTACTCTGGATTTGAGAACGCAGCTATGTTAAGGCTTCCCGAAGCTTTAAAATGCGCTCAAATCATAATATGTCATTGCGAGGTCGGTTTTGGTTTTAATTTATAAGTATTGAACTTTAGTACTTCCAATTTATATACAGGGTTTCCTCGGCTACATATAAGCATATTTGTTATGATATCACATGATTTTGTTGATCACGTGACAATCTTTTATACTTTTTTGAAGTGTTTCATATAAATCGCTTCGGTGCAGCTGATTAACACAATAATTATTAACATTTTGTTATATAAATAAACTCATCGTATCCTTGTGTATCCGAAATGTGCTTGGGAAAAGTCATAGTATTACTTGGGTACAAAATATTTCGTGAGAAATTCAACTTACCTACAAATTTGAGGGTATTTTCCACACAATATCGTAATCTGTATTAAAACAAAGCCAACACACATTTTTCCCAAGCAAGATTCAGTTAGAAAACAACCTCTTCTTACAGATTTTCACAAAAATTCTCAGATTAATCCTCATTAATCACCTGCGCCAGAATCTTTTATACACACAAAATAAATTCTACCTCCAACCACGAGTATAAAACAGCGTGCATTTCAAAAGTATATTTTTCATAAGCATTTTGAACATGCGGAATTTCAGTCAAGGGTAGGTAAGCGGTGTATTTTTAAAATAATCGGACATATAAGACTTAAAAAACCTTTAACGACCCGTGAATTTTGCAATAGCTATGTAGCATTTTACATATAGTTTGAAATAAAGTGTTAAGTTAATGACACTCTCCCCGTCATAACACCTCAAGTTTGCAGTGATTTGACGTCATTTTCCATTATGACGTCATATTTTGGTAGTCCAGAGATGTGAAGGCACAGAGTGCACTGTGATTTTTCTTCGGGAAGCCTTAACCTACCTGCGAAAGTAATGCATTACATTACCATTACATGTAATGCAAATTTTTTGATATTACACATTACTAGCATTACTTTAAGTTCAGGTAATGCATTGCAATGCATTACCATTACATTTAGCATTACCCAAAGTATGTTCATAAGCTTTGGATGAAAAAAGATCATAGAACTTTCATTTCACATGTCTATTACCTGTGACAAGACCTTTCCGAATATATCATGACTTTTGATCCCTTGAATTTGACGTTTGGCCTACTTTTATAAAATTTTAACTTTACTTTTACCATGATCATTACTATTGAATAAGAAGAGATATGGCTTTCATCTTTCATATGTACATTACCTTTGATAAGACTTTCCAAATATACTATGATTTTTTACCCCGTGACCTTGAGGTTTGACCTACTTTTCAAAATTTAACATTGAATATAACATTTAAATGAGAGAAGATAGGACATTTATATTTGACATTTGCATTACCTGTGACAAGATATTTCCGAACGTGCTATAATATTTTACCCTGTGACCTTGACCTTAAAGTTTGACCATTTTTTTAAAAAAAAAATTAACATTCTTAATAACTTTTGAATGAGAGAAGTTAGGACTTTCATATTTGACAAGAGCATTACATTTGACAAGAAGTTTCCGATTGTGGTATGATATTTGACCCAGTGACTTTGACCTTGAAGTTTGACCTAATTTTCCAACATTTTAGCATTACTGATAACTTATAAAGGATTGAAAAGATAAGGCATTCAGATTCAAATGTACTATGATTTTTAACTCTTGACATTGACCTTGAAGTTTGACCTAATTTTCAAACTTTTAACATTGCTGATAATTAACATTGCTGATATTTTTTTTTAATGAGAGAAGATAGGGCATTTATATTTGACAGGTGCATCACCTGTTTCAAGACTTTGCTAAATGTACTATAGTTTTTGACGCCGTGAACTTGACCTTAAAGTTTATCCTACACTATTTATTTTTTACATTAGTTATAACTTTTGAAGAGAAGATGGGGCTTTCACATTTTATATGTAAATTACATATGACAACACCTTTCAGAAAGTTACATCATTTTTTTACTCATGACCTTGACCTAGAAGTTTGACTTTCTTATAAAAAAATAACTTTGGCCGAAGACAGTTACAATATGCCACAAAATGCATCCCATACACTAAAGCGAAAAGCGGGGGACCACCATTCTGTGAATTTGCTTGTTTCATTAAATGTGGATTAGAGTCATGAAAAGGAGTAAAGGGGGAGGGAGACAACTCGATTCTTTCCTGAGAATTCAAGTCACAGCCTAAAAATGCATGTAAAAAGCACATTGCATACAATAAGAAGGCAGTGAATTATAATTATGTAGATCAACATTCAAGTTGATAATTGGAGAAAAGAAAATGGTATCAATAGAAAACAAATTCTGTATTCTAAAACGCAAAACATTTTTTTGATTTAAGGTTAAAATTACATATAGTTTTTCAATTAAAGTAAATTGAAATCCTACTTGTTTTGTTCATTGCCAAAGAGATAGCCCCTTTTATTGAATGAGTAAAAATAGATAAATTGTTAATGTTATTTGCAAAAGATATTTTCAAGTAAGAAGAGGTAGCAAATACCTGCTTGGTGTATATTGCAACACTTTTTGCTGAAGGCGCATAAGAGCTTTTCTGATGACATTTTGTCGGTCTGTCTGTCTGTCCGTCCATCTGTAAACTTTTAACGTTTTCAACTTCTCAAGAATGACTGGGCCAATTTCAACCAAACTTGCCACAAAACATTCTTGGGTGTAGGGGATTCATTCATGATCAAGGGTAGATAATTAAGAACTGGAGAAAATAATGTATCAAATTTAAAAAAACTTCTTCTCAAGAATCACTGAACCAGAAAAGATATTCAAATCCGGGTCCCTGTGGTATGGTGGGACCACAGTAAGGGATCATAGGTTTGAATAGGAATTTAAAATGATTCTTTTGAAGTTTAAAATCATTCTTCTGAAAAACAGCTGGGTCATGATTTCTCATATTTATATGGAAGCATTTTCAGGTAGTTTAGATTCAGATTTGTTCAAATCATGGCCCTCAGGAGTAGGATGCGGCGACAATGGGAGAACAACGTTTAACATGGTAATACATGTGTATTTGAAACTCTTTTTCTTAAGAACAACAATGGGCAAGATTATTCATATGGAAGCATTCTCAGGTATTGTAGATATAACTTTGATCAAATCATACCCACCTGGGTTGGGTAGAGCCACAAATAGGAGATCAAAGTTTTACATGGTATTATATAAAAAAAATTGAAAAAATGAAATACAACAAAGCCATGATTAGTCGTAATGTGCAAGCATCCTCAGGTAATGTAGATTATCCCCCCCTCCCCCCAAAAATGGGCCACAACAGGGAATCAGAGTTTTACAAGAAAATATATAGGAACAAAGTAGCAAGGCAGTAGCAAGTACATTGCATCAATTTGCAAACATTGTATAAATTCTATTGATTCATTTATTTTTAAATTCAAATTATGGACCCTGGTTAAGATGGGGTTAAAACTGGAGATCAGATTTTACATAATGCTAATGTACATAAAAAATCTTTTTGAAAAAATCTTCTACAAGACAGCAATTAAGGCCATGTTAGTCATATTGATATCAAAACATACCCTCCCAATGTTGTGTGGATTCAAGCTGGTTAAATAATAATCCTTTAAGGCAAGTAGGGGCCAAAATACGGAGTCTCCATTTTTCATTGGAATAAAGAGAGAGACAAATCTTTTGAAAATCTTCCTCTGAAGAACAGCTTGGCCGAGGTGATGCAGGTGAGCATTGTGTCCCATGAGCCTTTTATTTAAACATATTCTTTCAGTTCCCGCCATGTGATTCTGGTGATTTCCCCGTCGTCATTACAAAGCGAGTGGAGCAACTTTGAGATGCTGATTGCTGTGGACGATTCCCATACCCGGAACAGCGTTTGTCTGGTTCCGGTACTGCTAGGCGGGGTCAAGCTAGGATGTCTCCCACCTACACTCCGACTTCTTACTTGTGTAGAACTCCGTGAAAAATTCGAGAATGTTCATGATATCATCCAGGCCATTAAAAGTAAGTTGTATTTACTATATGTTATTATAATCATGGTAATAACATTCAATAAATAAAAATTAAGTTACATGCACTAGATTTTTAATCAAATTAATGATTTCAAACATAATCTCTTCTTGGAAATCTGAAATTAATCTTAAAAGAAATTCGATAGTTTTCGCTGTATAACAAGAATGAAAATTAACATTGTAAAATTACTTATTTTTGTGGTTTGAAGAAAAAAAATTTGGTTTGAGGAGATTTGATTTCGTGGTTGAAGAACATCTTACTGTTTATGAAATTGCAACTTTTTTGTTGGGGACATGAATTCGTTGGTCTCTTTATACCAAGAAAACAACGAAAGTGCAAACCCCAATATAGTGATCTCACATTATTATACAGCGCTGTGGTCATTTATAACTGTGGATAGTGAATGGTCAAACGATGAGAAACATATACCACAGATAAAATTCTTATTACATGCACATATCATGGGAAAAAATAAAATAACTTCTACATGCACCTAACCAGAAAAAAAATCATAGAGCGAGAGACTTTACAGTCCAAATCAGTTCTGTTGTCGCTTTTGTCAACAGAAGCACATTACACCTGGGAGTCCCTTTTACCTGTGGGGAATCTGGCGCATGATTTTGCCTGGGGATATTATTTCAGATACCTCAAAATCATTTTACCAAGTATGTATTTGTTGGTTTGTTATGCACTTTCTCTCTCTCTCTCTCTCTCTCTCTCTCTCTGTTTTATTTAACATGAATTTTGTTATTATATTTTCCTTCATCGATATCTCAGAAAAGATTTGATTACATTTTACGAAACTTTCATACGATAAAAGAGTGACTCATTTTTGCCTTGATATACATCCTTGCTGTACACCACATTAATTTTAGAACAAAATAGATATTCATTATTTTTTTAATTAAAAAGAATTATAAATAGATCCTTTGTTTAAAATATGCATTTATATATAGGAATATTACTTCGTCGGTGAATATGTAACAGTTATTCATACTATGTATGAAATGGAACAGAATGCTAAAACAGGCCTACAGACAAGAGAAAAGTATATTCAAGCCATGAGGTTCTACCTAACAATAAAGGACATTTTACAGAAGGATCCTGAGTGCTCGAAAAAATATAAAATTATATTTTACAAAGGTATAAGTATATCAAAGGCATAGATATTTTAACTTTTTAAAAGACTAGGTATGGTATTGGTCAAAATTTTTTGTATAATACATTTTTTTAAGCAAAATTGTTTAAAAATCAATTAAAAGTACGAAAGTTTGGAAATTAAACAATTTTGTACCCTCTACGTATGTTATAAGATGATTTTGTTATAAAATCAGTTCTTTTATTGAAATTGGCATCATCATAGGTGTTTAATTATAAACACCTCAATTGTTCTAAAAAAAATCGAAAACAGAGGACCAGAAAAACCCTTAAGCCCCATTTTTCTTTAAAATTTGTACTTTTAACATTAAATATCAAAATTAGCAACTAGAAAGCATAAGAACTTGCTTTTGCATTAAAAGCACTTATTTTTAATGGACAGCAACATCTTAATTGTTTCTTATAACCATAATTCGTTGCATGAAATAATTTACATTAATATCTTATTAAGTACATGTATATCTACTGGTAAAACATAACTCTGTTATGAATAGGTATTCACAATAAATGGAATTGCTGTACGCTTATCTTGCTGTATTTCTGTATCAGTACAATAACTATGCTTATGCTTACCGGGTTGAAATTTTATAAATTACCTTTTAGATAACTGCAACAGCTCTGAGAACAAAACCACGGTTAATATGTAGGGAAATAAAGAAACAGATACAAGCGGAATCACCGGATGACCAACCTAGCGAGACCTCTTTCAGCAGCCTCGAGCAGTTTTCCTCCATATGTGGACCTGATTTCAATCTTTATTCCATAGGAAACTCTGTCAATTCACATATGTCTAAAAGTGAACCTTACATTCACCGAGATGAGAAAGGTAAATTGAAGACAGTAGAACGAGGAGACCAACTAACCAATGTGTTCAATGAACCGATATGATGTAGGACAAGGAAAACCAAAAGTTTTTCTTTGGTCAAAAGGTTGATGATTTTAGGATGAATGTGGTTTTGTTTAACGTTGACTTGGTAATTGTTTGCCATTGTCATCGGTTAGAGAAGATAATTCTTTCAAAAGAGAGTGTTCTATTGTAGACATTATAGTGAGTTGTTGCCCAGTGACATATTTGAATACGAGTACATCATTTGAATATATATTTCATGAGGAGCAAGCATTGTATACTAGTACCTGCTTCCACTGGAATCCATTGTACATAAGTCATATAAATACAGAAAAAATGTCAGTGACAAGTTTTTAACTTAGCATATAGAATAAAAAAATTTCTGATATTTGATGTCTTATATTTATCATTAATGTTACAATTATTTTTTTGGTTATTAAATTATACTTCTGTTAACCTACTAAAACTCTCCACTTTATATCAAAATACTTGACTAATTCTAGGGGGTCCTTCCTAGTCTGATAATTCTGCATAATTGAAGAGAATGACATAGATATTTCACCGCCTTTAAAAATCAATGCAGATGTCTTTGATGGCGGGGAGAAGGCACTTGAAACTTCCTATAATCCTCGAATCAATTATAATTGGAATACTTTATCATTTTGTTTTCGTTTTATGGTTTTGTTTCGTTTTTCTGGCTCTTGGTCGGATTCTGAGTAACGTTTAAGACCACATGGATTATCACAAAGTGATTCATGCTCTTTGTTTCACTTCTCTCCATCTGAAGAAGGGTCTGAGCATCAAAAAAGACGTAACTACACAGTTCAGAGACTAACGAAGAATTACTCTTTAAACGTCGGCGGCACTTATCTTAAAAGTATTGACATTTTTCTTCAAATATGTCCACAATCGGAGTTCTTTTTGATTGTTTCTTTTATTCCCGATGTGTCTTACACGCCATTTTAACGAGTATTTGATAATCACACGTTGATAAGCCCGGTTTGGGTAAGTGCGACAACGGAATCGGTTGAGGATATAACTTTACATCCATTTGGTGAAAAAGAAACCATTTATACTTCCTATCGTTGATATTGCCGCTTGGCTCCAGAATAATACGCATCCAGACCACTTTGATTGTGACAATGGGCATCTCTGACAACGAAAAAGAGGCTTTAATGTTTAAACTCGTTCACACATAGGCCGTAGAATTAATAGATATAAATATTATACTACATTCCCTTAGAAATGGCATCAATTAAATTACAACAAAAAAGTAAATACGTTTTGTATTATTCGAAGGCCCACAATTTTTTGTATTTTGATATACACGTTTGCAAAAATATAACTACTATGTACATGTAGAAGAAGACTGGTAGTTTTGAAATATGCATAACAAAATTTCGCAAGTACGTTGATTAGAGGTATTCACAGGATTTAAAAAATCCATTCTTTCCGGAAATTGCTATTTTTTCCACTATTTTTACAACAAATTCCCAAAATTGAAGTAGTGCACACTCCTCGAGCAAAATAAAACATATATATTTGAAAATAATTTGATATCAGACAAGCAAAAATAATGGTAAGAATTTGCTCGGGGAATGTGCAGTATGTTAATTTAGACATTTCATGACTATTTCCGGTGGCGGATACAAAGTTAGTCGAGAGGCGAATTCTTATCTAGGAGTAATAATAATGGTGTATTTATTATGCAAAATAATAATGTAATAATGCAAAATAATAAATTTATCATTGATTGTCCATATTTATATTGCTCATACAAATATATTTGTCATGAAAATAGTATAAAAAACTAAAAAAAAAAATGTTCTATAGAAATGACAAATTGCGATATAATTTTATACAAATAAGCCTTACACTTGATAAATAATGCCAGCAAGAAGGGAAGAGATCAATTTAATATACTAAAGCAATAAAAATGTTTAGCTGACAAATGAAATCACTAAAAGTATTATTGCAGAAGAGAAAATGCTTAAATCCTAGCCTTTATTTTATTTTGCTACTGAAACGGCTTAGTTGAAGTCTGCATGTAATATGTAAATAAATTATGCAATAAACTAAAAGATGACGTCACAATAGGTCCCCTAGCTTGCAACACATTTTTTTGGAGGGGGGGGGGGGTATAAATTCCCAATCTTTTGGATGCCGTCGGTCACGACTGATCCGATTAATTAATATTCTGAAGTCTTGTATTTTCAGTCATTTATACAAGTGCACGGTTGATGTTTCAATATATTTTCAGATTTTATAATTCCACGCACAATATAAGTGTGTTGCATCTGCATAAGTTTATATTGTAGACATTGTCGATAATATTGTGCATATAAAAACAAAGGCTCATATATTTCACCTAGTAAAATTTATTTTTATTCTACTTATTATATTCTACTTAAGATCATTCCACATATACCAGAGTTGTAATTTCTTATCTGTCGAGGATCCAGTGAAGTTAAAAGGAGACTGGAATGAGAAAGCGACAGAAAGGTCAAAAAAGAATTTCGGACAAAAAAATTTTATAAAAAAGCTGTATCGGATGAGGGGTTCACTTTTCAGCAAGGTTACCTGTCACTTAATTCTTTCTACCCCTAAAGGCAGTATATGTGTATCACACAATTTAATATAAGTATATACTGTGGAACAAAACTATCTGTCAGTGTGGACAAGTCAGAAAACAAGTTATTTATCAGGCACGAAGAATCAGGGACGCAGGGCTTCTTCCCACTTTTCTCCAAACTTTGAAAATGTTCATTGAAAGACTGCCCCCCCCCCCCCCCTCTGTTTGCTGTAGCATAGGTAAAATTTAGGAATATAGGTATTGGGGAAAAAATTGTTTGTGAAAAAAAAAATTGTGAAAAAAAGTTTGAACCTACCGAGACACGGGGCCTCGGTTTTTAAGGTCTCATCCGAAAGACCCGCAACTTTCACTTAAAAGTGCGAGCGCTTGACGAAGGAACAGTTGCTATCTATTTTAATCGAGTTAGGTCGGTCGCATACGTGATTCGAACACACGACCTTCCGATCAGAGCGAGCGCTCTACCTGAAATGGATTGAAAAGCAGGCATAAAATGACCTTTCTCTCCATAGGTTTGATATCGATGGCTTAAAATACTTACTTAAAGATAGATATTGAGAGAAATTTCAAGCAACAGTATTTATCTATAATTATATGTACGTATTTAAAAAAAGATCGTTAAAGTGTTCTTCAAAGAAAGTAATTGTTTATACATGTTTATATTTATTTTATTTATTCATTTATCTTTTTTTTTATTATTCATTTTTTTTATTTATTTATTTATTTATTTATTTATTTATTTATTTATTTATTTATACTTTTTTTTGAAAAGCTATACTAAATTGGTAATAAAAAAAAACCTCAATAAGTTGCTAAAGAAAATGCGATAGAAAGTTGCCTATGCCAACTATCCAAGAGAAGTACTGCATCTCTACAACGTACCAGCTTGTAAAGGGGGTGGGGGATGGGTGATTCTTTATTCGTGCATTTGAGAAGGACCATCCGGTGACACATAAAATTATTAATCGAATTATAGTACTTTTTCATTTATTTTTTTTTTTGAAACTTTTTCAGATGACGATAGAAACGTTTTAAACACATTTTGTTTAGATAAATTCGTGAATGACGCAACAACTCGTTGGAAAGGATGGGCTGGGGAATTTGTCCTTTCAATGTTATCTGTTAATTAAAAATTCAAATACTTTTCAAAAATATCTTTAATGCTTTCTCATAAAATTTTATAGGGAATCTGA